AATGGGGAAAAAATAAGAACCAAGATGCATCATGTAAAGGTACAAGTTCCCAATGAGAAATGTAAATGTGTTGTATACCTAAAATGTACCAATAAAAGAATTTAAGTAATAAAAAAAAGAAAGAAAAGACATATTTTTCTCTTTTGTATGTTTAAAAATTCTAAAATTTAGATGTATATTTAAAAATTCAAAAATTTAGATGTGTAAGTTTATTGTGATAGTTTCTTCCCCTATCCCCCAAAAGCTGCTATTAAATTAGTGGTGCATTTTAATAAAGTAACAATGAAATAACAGTGAAATAAATTTAGAACATACTTTAAGGATTTTGGTTATTAAATAGATTGTTTGGATAGTACTAAGTTTTGAAGCCAAGCTAAGGACTTTTTGAAATATGGGAGATTTGTTCATTCTTAATGCCTAAAAAGAAGGGCATAATAGTGTTAGGGTGATCTGTCTCCACATATTAATTAAAAATAAAAAATTCAGATAGATTTAAAGCATCAAAATATTAACCTTATCATACAAGAAACCATATTCAAATAAAAGCCAATACCTGAAAGACTAAATCTGGAATTTCTCTATCATAGAGAGGCATTTGCTGTAGGAGGAAAATATCTAATTGACCTGCATTTCTAAGTTGCAGAAGCTGAAAACGTTTACTCTTTTTCATTTCTTCTTCAGAAACAAAGTTAAATTCATCTTGCAATTGTTCAAGGCGGAAATACCGTGGAATGTCCTGCCCTTTATGTCTCATATACTATAAACACAAAAATGTAAAGTCTTTAAATATTAATTTTTTAAAAACAAGAATTATTTCAACCCCCCCACACACACACTGTGAGATACAAGATTCACAGTACAAGTAGGAATGGAGCAATTGAATCTGTAGAGGGATAGGACCTGCAAAAATACATAATTCTACTTCCAAGGCTTTCTAACCTTTGCCAAGTTGTGACTTACACAGGAAATGAAATCTGTGTTCTATACAAAGTTAAAAGATGAGATTGTTCCTATTTGGTTTCCCTAAGAGCTGAGGAAGAATCAGTATTTCTGTACGCCTGTAACCAATTTTGCCCATCAGTTGGGAAGGTCTGGTCTAGGAAAGCTTAATTTCAGTAATCTAATTTATGAGTTGCCTTTATTTAACACATGCAAATCAGTGAATGGTAAATATAAGGAATATTGTTTGCTGCCATCAGAGAGACAAAGATTTATTAGTTGTGGTTCCATAAGGAAAGATAAGACACATGAATGAATAATTACAGTAATATGCAGAAAGAGATTAGCATCATAAGAGTTTATTTAAAAGAAAGAAAATAGCTGGGGATTTAGCTCAGTGGTTCTGGTGCCTGCCTCACAAGCACAAGGTCCCGAGTTCAATCCCCTGTACCAAAAAAAAAAAAAGAGGGCTGGGGATCTAGCTCAGTGGTTTCACTGCCTGCTGTGCAAGCGCAAGGACCCGAGTTCGATCCCCGGTATCAAAAAATAAAATTAAATTAAAAAATTAAAAACAGAAAGCAAAGAAAAAAAGAAAGAGATAGAGAAAAGGAAAGGAAAACACAAAAGGAAAGAAAAAAGTTGACAGGAAGGCCAGGAAAGAAGAGTGCATGTCTAACTGCAAACATTTATTAGACTTGCAGGGTGGATTAGAGTGCCACAATGAATGTCCTGCTAGGCAGAGGATAAATGGCATGGATAAGGGTATGAAGAAAGCAAGTGTGGGAAACATAGAGTAGTTCATTTGGCTACAAGGAATATAAGTGAGTAGATAATGAAGCCTGAGTACATCTATAAGACATCTTGACAAGTCCTTCTGGTATCTGTAGTACTTGCCTAAAAAGTAAACAGCAAATTATGAGAGAGTACAAAGGGAATGAGTTTAGGAAATAGAATATATTTACAGTACTGATATTTGCTATAACTTACCATAATAAATTCCATTAAATCAGAATATTCTGGATTATTTGGATCAATTCTGACTTCATTTGCCCATTGAAAAAGCTTCTGTGCATTAAAAAACCATGGAATTCGAGGAGTACCTCTTATACCTACATTCCTTAACAAACTAACATAGAGAAAATATTTTGTGATTTTCATGCAGTATATGGGTTAGACATCATTATACAGCCTAAAGCCTATCCAGTTGAGGTGTTTACAAATAAAATCTATCCATTCTTCATAGTGCAGTGTGTATATATACCAACTTCCCATGATCAATGTATTTATTATGTATTGCAACATATAATAAGGAGAACAAATTTAAAACCCAACAAAAAAGATATATCTTCTAGTTCTCATATTCTAACTCTATCACAGCTTTTTGATAATTATCTACTCTCCCTTAAGTGACAAAATCTTTGTAAGGATAAAGCCTATAAATATTCGTGTTTGCCATCTCCACTTTGTGGATAGCTAAACTACAGTGAATGCTTAATTACAGGTGATTATTGAATGTATTCTGTAAACCCAAAGCATAATAACTTAGTATTTTCTTTCGATAGGATATACAATACTGAATTTTAATCCAAATATTTTCTTAAGTGAATTTAGGTAAATAATACACAATACATAAACTTCAGATTGTATCTTTACAGTTGAAATATAATAGAGAGTAATGCAGTTAAGTGGGCATTATGGGCCAGGTGTGTATCTTTGGTCATATGAGACCATCTTCAAACAGTACAGCTATAAAAGATAGGCTAAGATTAGTAATATATCCTCAGATCTAACTATAGGCTAAGAGCAGAAGAAATTGAATCCTAAAGAGCAAGGATTTCTTGAGAGCCATCAATTATCCTCGTTATTTACTATCTTAATTTCTTCTATCATGTGTAATTAGAAAAATTTAGACCATATTTCTAAGATTTTTTTTTTTTTTTTTTTGGTACCGGGGATTGAACTCGGGATCTTGTGCTTGCGAGGCAGGTGGTGGAACCACTGAGCCAAATCCCCGGCCCTCTCAGATCTTTTTATAAAGTACTTGAGAAATGTTTCTGTCTATAAAATAAAGATTCCAGAAATACCTTTCTGACATAATCAATAATGTTTTAGCCCAAACATGGAGACATATTTTACACTGTCTCCTTTTCATTACCTCCTAATCATATATCTATGATGAATCTTTTCAAGCTACTGTTGATAAAGCCAGTATCTGGAATAGTGGGATGTAAGCAAAATTACCAAAAGATGAAGTTTGAATGGTCTTTATTTTACTTTCTATTTTGCCCTGATGGTTGAATTGTTTTGATGTCTTTGTTATAAGAGATCTCCAGGACTCCATACCCTTGACACATTATGTAATATATTTTCCTTTTCCTAAGAACAGTTTTAGCCCAGAACCCCTAGAAAACAAAGCCATAAAGGCGAGGCTTAAATGTTAATGAACAGATTATGCAGATTATAGAGAGAAATTTGTCTTTTCTTTTTTAAAGAAAGTTATAGCCATGTGTGGTGGCTCATGCCTGTAATCCCAGCACTCAGGAGGCTGAGGCAGGAGGATTGCCAATAAATTTGAGGCTAGCCTGGGCTACATAGTGAGTTTAGGGCCAGCCTGAACTACAAAGTGAGACTCTGTCTCAAAAAAAAAAGAAAAGAAAAGAAAGTTATAATAGTATTTTAACAAAGTCTCATGATTTCTGCCTTGGGTAAATAAAAATGTCAGAGCCTTGTTACACTGCCTGCCCTAGCTGATGTTATAGGTGTTCAGTTGATGACCGTGACAAAATCCACAGTAATCTGCACACTCTCTCCACAACCAAACACTAAGTGCAGAAACCTGTCTCTTGGCTCAGTATCGAAGTATTGAAGATTTTTACTTTTTAGATGATCGGAAGTAGCATTTAAATGGCATGTGAAATTCCTGAGAAATAGAACAAAATTCATAAAATTTTCCTCCCTACAAAAAGATAATGAATCATTCTTTAGTAATCAGAATGATTAGAAAACTGAAAAGCACTAGAAATAAAATCTTTGGGAGTCATAGCCTTTGCTTAAGTTAAGAGTTATGGAAAGCCTCTCTCATCATCATTGTGGCTATAATCCTAAGCATTGAAGAGAAATACAGTATTCTCTTACATATCAATACATTTACCTCTTAGTACAACGATTTAGGTAAAAAGCAAGTCAATATTCAAATAAACTAAATTGTTCCTATTGTTGCTTGGGTTTTCCTTTCTACACATATACATTTTGTGCAATGCCTGGCTGATACTACATTATTTTTCAAGCATGAAAGTTACCTGCAGTTTGCAGATCTTAATGATTGTGACATAGGTGTCAGAGGAAAGCCATTTTCATCTAAGGCCCATGATAGACAATAGCTAAGTTTTCCGGATGTTAAAAGACAAAGTTCTTTAGTTCCATTTTCCTCAAGAAGAAAAGGGACATCTGTTTATAAAAGACATTAAAAACATATGATTTGTTTAAAAAGTATGCAGTTGAAGCACACTGTAGATTCTCCCCCATACTTCCACTTATGAAGCCTTAAGAACACAAAGTAAGTTCTGTGTTGACCCCAGCTTTTATCCAAACACTCTCCCTCATTTCCTCTCTAAGATACTTCAAGGAAGACTGCTTCACACAAACTAAAAACGAAAGAGAAAAATACTGAGTGAACTATACAGAGATAAACATCTCTATTTTCCTTTTCTAATGCCTGGAAATGTCTTAACCATTCTTTCTGGGAATGGCTTCCAGCAACAAAAGACCACTGGCAGTAGAAAAACTTTTTCACTTTTCCCTGTATTCTTAAGTCTTCTGCCTCTCCTCATTTTCATTCTTAACCTCTAGAGAAGTAAACAATACTACTTAAAATTATGGATCTCCTCATGCTGTTTTTCTGCTCTGTATGGGTTCTAAGCAAATGAAATCTTTCCCTCATTCTCTATCCTTTTGGCTTCTTTCGCCTACTTTTTTTTTCTCCCTTCTTTGTTCACTTGTCCATGCTTTCTTCCTTTTCACCAGATAGGTTCAAGTTTGCAAAACACCTGCAAAGCTAAAACAAAGGAATCTTGGGGAGAAGGAGAGGAAAGACAATAGTCTCAGAGATGTTCTAACTTTAACTGCATAAAAGTAAAACCATTTGAAACACAAATGAACAGAAACATTCCTTCTTCTTTTCTCTGTCCTTTTCTTAGTACCTTCCTTCTTTATTTCCCTCCTTCCTTTTCTTTCTCCCTTCCCTACACAGTCTGAAGATGAATCCACATGTCCTAGAATACCATTAGGTTTACTGAAGGAGAGAGGCGGTAGCAGAGCAACTATCCCCACAGAAGTAGAACTTGTGTTTGGGAGAGCATGTTTTTGCCTCATGGCCTAGGAAAAGCTGAAGTGCTAACTGAATTATAAATTTCCCAAAGAACTGATTCAAGACAAAGGTGTTTGTTTTTTTTTATTTTTTGATATCGGGGATCGAACTCGGGACTTTGTGCTTGTGAGGCAGGTGGCGGAAACAATGAGCTAAATCCCCAGTCCCAAGACAAGTTTTAAACAATCTAGTTTAACATCTGAAAGGAGAATTTAATTCATTTAAAACCAAATATAAATATGGGATGTATCCCTCATGTAAATGAATCAGGGTCTTCTGAAGAAAGTTGGGGAGAGGCATTTTAAATAAACTCACTGCTTCCTACTTCTCCATCCGCAGGTATGACCAGCTTATCAGAGCTAAATTCTACATATTCCAGAACAGTTTTGCCTTTCAGCTCTGTGTTGTTAGGTAAAGGTAAATATAATTTTGCCAGTAAGCTTGTTTTTTTACTTATTTCATAAACCTAAATATAAAAAATAAAAATACATAATATACTGAAATTACACAATAGAAAAATAAACATAAGGACCCTCAATAACATACTTGTGTTCATTTTTTTAAAATGTTGGAATAAAATATAACATTTCATTCACATATTTAAGGGAAAAGTAGATAATCATATGACCTTAGAAATAGAATCCCTTTTGCTGGTTTTATAGAAAATGAACTGAATAAAAAGTTTACAATGTGCTGGGGATTTATCTCAGTGGTTTTGGTGCCTGCCTTGCAAGTGCAAGGTCCTGAGTTCAATCCCCGGTACCAAAAAAAAAACTTACAAATATGTTTTTGAGAATATAAGTACATATTGTACAATACTCAAATAACTTACTATTTTGTAGCACTTTAATCTCAGTTTTTTTAAATCTCAGTTAAATCCAATAAAAACTATAGGAAACAGATCTTTTTCTTCTCATGTTATAAATGATGAAATGGAAGCTCTTCATCAAACTATTTTAGTTTTTAAGTGATTAAAATCTGGTTGAACTCCTCAGGGAAAAGGGCAAGTCACTGGTTCACATGGAATCCAAGGATTAGTTTAATAAGCTATGGAAACTAGGGAGGAAAGAAGGTTCTACAAGAAGGAAAAAGAGGCACTGAATAGCCCCACTGAGCTTCAGCTCCTCAAGACTTTTGATTCTATGTGCTGTGCTTTCTCTAGAGTTTCATATAAATTCACTGAAAATTCAGTAGAAAAACCTTATTTTGACCTATATTGTGCTGTTAATATTTGGAGAAATGGTGATATGTTCTCTAAAAAGAAAGAAAATTAAGAGGTGGGAAGAGGGAAACTGGCCCTCTAAAGATAAGAAAGAATGCCAACAATAAGGATAAGTAACTAGTCAAGAGAGGAATAAAGAAAGTCAAAGAAGCTGATTTTTTTTTCCTGGTCATTACTTCTTTGTAAGAGTGAATTTAAGCCAACACAGCAGTCTGTTGTCAAAAGCATCCTTCATGCAGAAAGATTTGTAGGAGCTGTAGGTCAGTGAAAGAAATTTCTTATTGTACATCAGTAAACTAGATAGTTAAAAGGAGAAAATGAGCTAATAAATATATTAAAATAGTGAGTTAACATTCTGATTTTACACATAAACCCCATGAATTTGCTAAGAGTATGCAGACCCATACTCAGTGGACTGTCAGATCCAGGTTCTGAGACTTCAGACTGGAGATTAGATCCCAGAGAATGGGAAATGTACTGAAGTCAAGAATTCCACTAGGTAAGGTCTCCCACACAATACATAAAAACTAACAACACCACTGTGTGGCTGTCATGGCACATCCTGAAAATGTTCAGAATAAATGAAATGGTGATTGTAAGTGGAGTAACTAAAATATCTAAAAAAGCTCACAAGTAGGAAATTGCAAGTATGTATGGGAAAAGGCAAGCAGTTCAGTTTGGCTGAAATGAAGAATGAATAAAGTTGAGTGGTAAAAAATGAAATAGAAATTTATGTTAAAAATCTATTTAGTGAGAGCATACAGATTTATTTTGCAATTTTTGCAGCTGCTAAGGTATAATTTATTTCTAATTTCATTCCTCTTTCTCACTGTCTCTTAGCTTGTTAGAGTTGTATGATAAGTGATAGGAAGATAAAAGAACTCAAAATATGCATTTACCTATTTTGTGAGGGAGTTTTTAAAATTTCAAGTGATTATTATACCACACCTTATTTTAGAGACAATACTAGGAAAGTTCTTTTCTTTTGTTTTGTTTTTTTTTGGTACTGGGGATCAAACTAGGGGCCTTGCACTTGGGAGGCAGGCGGCAGCACCACTGAGCTAAATCCTTGGCCCCAAAATTCATATTTTTGAAGTAGAAATTTCTAAAGAAGGATAACATAAGATGACAAGAATTTAAGTAAAAATGAATAAAGCAATCGGAGATAGAATAAAGTTATTTTAGGCATTATAAAAATAATTTTGAGTTAAATTTGTAATTATAATTATCTCTATACTCCTCAAATTCTACCTTCACACACAAATCATTTTTCCCTCCTAACTTTACTTCTAGGTCTAGCTTTAAGCTTAATCAATCAGGACTTTTTGACAAAGCTCCTTAACTGTTTCTAATTTTCTACATCGTCTTATTTTCTTCTTTCTTTAATGCAGAAAGATTTGGACAGGGATCAAGGGTCTATCTTATGTTCTTTCATCTGATTCTTAAAAGGACCCAAACTGACAAAAAATGATAAAATGTTGGAACAGACTGAAGCCCCCATGTCAGGGCTAGGGAACTGTGTAGAAAATATCTAACAGTCACAATAGGTATGCAACTTATTTTACTTTAAATAATTCTCTTCCAACTCTTGTGTGAATGAAAAATAATGCTGCATATCCAAAGTTGACAGGAATTTTAACAGAAGAGAATTATTTGGAGCAGCCACAAATCAAATAATGTACTAATGATGTAAAAGACCATAAAAGAGGCAGATTATACATTTATTAATTATAAATACATTGCTAGGTGTAGAAATCTGTGATCTCTTAATGTAAAAGAAGTAACTTGTCATACAGAATAGTAGCTAACAAGAAAAAGGATTATGGCATAAAATATGAAAGCAAATAACAGCAGCATACCTCTAAGCAAATTGTTTCAGGCCAATATATTAACTGAATATTGAAAATTTGCTGAAACATGACTTTAAAATCAAACTGTAGAGGAGATATTGAAGTGCAAGAAACCTGTTTGTTGTTGTAAAATATCTTAACAAAATATTTCAGCTTCTGAAGTTTGGCTCTCCTCTTCTGTTCATGTCTATAAATTTTAAAAAAATCTTTAAATGAATCATGAAAAGCAGAACTGGTGTACAGTACTGTACTTTTCAAAATGTATCTTATGTTAAAAGGAAGGTGATCATTTAGAGGACAAATAGTGTCTTTAAGTCAAACAACAGCCGTCTATTTATGGGTAAAAGTTTCCCTTTCTCACTCAAGATGTTTTTTTAAAAAGATATATACTAAAAAATAGAAAAGGAACTAAAATCAAGTTACTAGAAATTATTCAGCCATTTATTTTACTACAGCACTTACCAACCAGATGTTTGAAAAGAGGAGAAAATTAGGGGGTTTGGGCTTGGATAGGGGAGTTTATATCAAGAATTCAAAAATATTTCCTAACTTTTATAAGACATCACACAACCCCCCCCACACACACACACTTTAAAGATATGCAATAGGTGATAGGCTTGCTATTCTCTCTCTCTCTCTCTCTCTCTCTCTCTCTCTCTCTCTCTCTCTCTCTCTCTCTCCAGGAGATTGAACTCAGGACCTTCCCACTGAGTTATTTCCTGAGCTGTTTTTTAATATTCTTATTTTGAGATAAGTCTTGCTGAGCTGCCCAGGTTGAGCTCTACCTTGCCATTCTCTTGCCTCAGCCTCCCATAGTGCTGGGCTCTTATCTTCTCAAAGATCTTTGCAAATCTCTTTAGGATTTAGGCTATATAACCACTTTCTCCAGGACAGATGGGAAAGTGTTCTTTCTTTGAACTCAAATGTCAGAGAAGCAAGCCAGGTTACACTGAGGCTTCTATGGAAATATTTGTTGGAAATAAAATGATCCCATGAATGATATGGAACTCTTAGAGTTATTCATTCATTCACCTAATCAACATTTATTATTTTTTTCAGCTGCAAGGCAACTGATCTAATTATTTAAGATTTTATTCCTCTTTCAGAAGGGAGCAAACTAGTTGGAAGATAAGCTCTAGACTGATACATGAAACCTCCTTCTACTCCCCACCCCAATCATACTATGGATCCCAGAATCTCCCTGCCCCATTATCTGCCCATCTTATTTGTCGCCTCAGAGGGTTAGGGAATATAAGCTATCTTTTCCTGTCTCCCTGTTGACCTCTTCTGACCATCTTGCCAATTACCTTCAGAGAAATATCTAGGTAAATATTGCCCACTATGCTGCTTCCTAAATGTAGTTGTAACACTGAGCTCATAAACTGATTATGAAATTTTGTTAATTCAAGATTATATTTTAAGGGAATCTTTCCTTTTTCTTCACCCTGTAGATCATTTTAAATTCTTCTCTAATCTCTGTATTCTTTTCATCTTTATCCTTGATATCAACATATTACTGTTTTCTACAGAATCCATTTTTATTATTGAATTGGATGTTTGGACTGCAATCCTATTAGATAAAATGGCTTTGAAAAGATATAAAGTATTATATATCTTTTTGCCTTAACTTCCACTTAGTTTTAGTTTAGGTTGTCCAGCATCAATATGTTCTTCCTTCTCCTTCTTCCAACTTAAATTTTATGGCTCCTGTTTTCTTACCGTCATTTTAACGATCCTTTCCTATGTGTGAACTTATTGGAAAGAGGTATAGAACAAATAAAAGATAGCTTCACTACTACACTTCTCTGGTCCGAAGGAGGATGGTGATAATTACACATTTATGTTTGTTACTCTTTATGTTCAGTTTAAGATGTAACTGCCTTGTTATGGTTTATAACCAAATGACCCCCAAGAGTCCTATGCACTTTTAGGCGGGGCTTTTTGGAAGATGGTTGTATTATGCAGTGTTATAGCTGATTAGCTGTTAGGAAATGAGACCTGCTTGGAAGAGGGAGGTCACTGGGGGAAAGACCTGATAGAGTTTATCTCCCTCCTGGGCTCTTCCTTTCACTCTCTGCTTCCTGGCTCTCATGACACGAGCAGGATTCCTTTGTGCAGGCCCTTCTTTCATGCCACATCTGCCCTGGAGCTAGTTGACTGTGGACTGAAACCTCCAAAAACATGAGCCAAAAATAAACTTCTTGTTAAATCGTGGGTGTTGAGTATTTTGTCCTAGCTACAGGGAAAGTGAGGAAGGCACAACCAACTCATTCATTTAATTAATATGAATGCTTATTGGGTACCCACTATGTTCCAGCTCTGTGCTAACTGATGCACAATCACAATATTCAAAGCTGGATTAGAAAAATGTCTTCTATAGAGTAGGGATGTTTAAAAACTGGACCTAGTTCAGTGGTTTAAATTGCCATATCCTCTTCAAGGTCAATGGTATCCATAGTCCTAGTAGATGAGAGAAATGACAGTATGTATGATGTCTGCTTTTGTATTAGTCCTAGGTATATAGTTCAAGGAAGAAGTTACAACTGGGAAGAAATGAGGTTTGTACTGTCAAAGAAGGAAATTGTCTGGAGGGCCCTCTTACTATGGAATAGTTTTTTGTTTGGTTTATAGTACAAATAACTTTTATTGGTCTGGGGTCTGTAAACTCAGTCATAGTGCTCCCCAAAAAAGCTGTATGGAATAGTTTTATGAAAACCTAGAGTCCTTTAACAAGGAAAGGTGATGGTACAATCTCTTTCTCCACTCCCGTCCTCTCCCCCTCTTCTTCTTCCTCCTTTTACTGTAACTTTATATTTTTCCTATCTATACCTGAATAAAAATTTATTGCCATCACAAAAATTTAAAAAGTGATCAATATAATAAGCTTATTACAGAAGACATGGCAAGGCAAACTGGTTTATGTCCCAGCTCAGGCACATATTAAATATGTGATCTTGGACTACTTAACCTTCCACAATACCCAGTTCCCTCATTTCTAAGATAAGGATAGTGTATGATTCCATAGAGTTATAGTGACAATCAAATATGCAAATGTAAATTAAAAGACACTTAGCAAAATGTCTGGTATATGGTATTCATCCAAGAAATCTAACATTAGTATGAAAAACAATACAATTAATAGGCAATATATAACAAAAACATAAGTCTTTAAAAATGCTTACAGTGGACACTTGGATAAGCTGGTTAATTCTGCTGTGAAATAAAGTAGCGGCCTCAGGGTAGTTGGATTTATTCTTTCAATTTCTGTTTCTTCAAGTTCAGAAGCTAAAAATGAGAGCACCTAGAGACAAAAACAAAAATATACAATTTACCATGCATATTCGTCATCTAGAACAACTATTCTTAAAAGTAAACTTTTATTTCTTATATTTGTCATTTTGTTAGGTATCTGTTACAAATATCAAGCTATCCTATTCTACTGAACAGTGAAATATTATAACCAGTGAAGATGAATTGAATGTCATTTTGTGATATAAATACCTCCTGTTTTTCTTCATTCTTAAGTACTTTTCCTTCAGTTTTCTTCTTGGTCTCAGAAATGTCTTCTGACATTTGTGCTTGTTCTTCTTGCTCATCACATTTATTCATATTAATCCTAATTAGTAATAAATAGAATTATTTAAAGCAGAAATGCAAGTATTTGAGACTTGTGGGAGGTCTTGCCAAAATAGACACACATGCAAACACACATCTATACACATACAAAATCAATCTTTTACAACAATTTATTTTATATCCTAAGGAAGTTATCAATATGGTAACACTTGACAAGAAGAGTTTCCTGCCAAAATGAGAAGATGGGGCTATATTCTCAACTTCCTGCTAGCCCATTTCTGCCACTGTTACTTTGTAAAACTTGCTTAAGCTAAGATTACCACAAACCTCCATGTCAGAAAATCAAATGAACATTTTTAGTCCTGAACTTAATTAGTATTTCAGAAGCATTAAGCAGTGTTAACAACTTTCCCTTACTTAAAACACAGTGCTGTCTTTTGTTTGCTTCTGTGGTGAAAGGCTCTATCCCAGTGACGGTGAACCTTTTAGAGACCGAGTGCCCAAACTGCAATCCAAAACCCACTTATTTATCACAAAGTGCCAACACTGCAAATTAACCTGAATACTGAAGTTTTAATTTAGAAAAAACGTATGCATTAACATCTTTTATCTTAAAAGAAATATACAATAACAAAGCTTTCAATGATACAAAAGCTTTTTATTGAAAGGTAAAAGTTTGCATTTGGCATGCTTTTTTACAATTACTGTGATCTTTGCTGTTGCATGCATGCTAATAATTTGTCAACCCCTTGGGGCAACTTCTGCCATAGGTTTACCACCACTGTTCTAACCAGTGTTTCCTCTGATTTATTCTCCTTTTCCAAGCCATTCAATACAGCTTCTCAAGTTGCAGTCCTTGAGTTTCTTCTCATCTCATTTTTACCTTCTCTCCAAGTAATTTCTGTACACCTATGGCTTCAGTTACAATTACTAAGCTACAGACTTTATTTTATTTTTTTTTAACTTTTATTTCTAGCACAGACCATACATCCCAGCTGCCCACTCAGCTGCTTTACTTGGGAAAATCTTAAAAGGCATACATATCAAATTCAATATCCCTCAAAATAAATATATGAAGGAAAAATAACCTGAGGTCAATGTGTAGGCATCAAGCCTTTGCATCATAAATGCAGCCTTTTCTTGAAGGTTGGCTACAAGTTTATTCAGTTAAGGTTCAAAAGGACCAGGCTTGTTGTTAGGTCAAAAGTAATAAACTTGGCCAGGAAACAGAGTTTCCAGAATCATCTTCAAATATAGTGCTTTTCTAGTATCAGAATACTTGAATGGCTAAAACAAAATGCTCCAACTAAGGATCAGCAGGCTAATCCTGCTGGTGCCAATCTAGTCACTGCCATTGTATTTAGTTCAGAGGTATCCAGCAAAAAGCTGGAGAGATGAATAATTAAATGTCAGGATGAACAAATATGAAGGGTCTCATGTGAGATTGGCGTTCAGAATAATGGGAGCAAGTTTTTTTTTGGTACCGGGGATCAAACTCAGGACCTTGCACTTGCAAGGCAGGCGTTCGAACCACTAAGCTAAGTCCCTGGCCCTAAGGAACAAGTTTTGGTAGTGAGTAGATAATATGGATCCAGAACTACTATTCTGAGTAACCTTATGATATCTGTGGGTCTTCTTTGTTGCTCAGAAGTTCATGACACATGGGTGTGACAAACTGGTTTAAAAGATTAGAGGCAAGTCATCAAGTTTACATTAATTTTGAAGTATACAAATCATGCTTGTCTTAGGTACAAACTGTTAGAAGCACTTCTAAACCAGTTCTACCTATAATCTCAGCACTTCAGGAGGTTGAGGCAGGACTCCAAGCTTAAGCCCAGTCTGTGCAATTTAGTGAGACCTGTTTCTAATTTTAAAAGGGGGATGGGGCTGAGGAGATAGTTCAGTTTGAAGGCCCTGAGTTCGATTGCCAGTACCACAGCAAGCAAAATCTCCTGTAGCAGAAAAAATAAAAAATCAATAAAAGAAACATCTCTTAATTGCCTGAAATTACACTACAAGTTTGCAGTTTTGAAAAAAAATAGACTCAGGATAATGGGTTGTAAGGAGAGAACTAGTTATCTCACTTTGAGTTCACAAGCAAATTAAGTAATTAATAAATTTGGTTTTGTGTATAATTATTTTTTCCAGTACATATGTTTTTACAACTTCATCCAATTACCTAAAATATGCTTCACCTTGGAGTATGGTCGTTAGATCTACGTTTATTAAAAAATGCCAAAGTGTTTCCAAGGTGACTATATTATTTTACATTCCCACTAAATATAAATGAAAGGGTCTTTGGCTCAGGATCTTTGACAACAGTTGTTAATATCTTTTAGGCATTCAATCAGGTGTGTGTAGTATTTCATTCTGATTTTAATTTGCATTTCTCTATTGATATGACATGATGTCACGAGAAAGAACTTTTCTGTGTTCATTTGCCATCCCTATACCTTCTTTAGTAAAGTGTTTGTTCAAAGCCTTTGTCCATTTTTAAATTGGCTTGTCTTCTTAAATTGTAAGGATTATTCAAAATATAAGTCCTTTGTTGACCACATAGTTGTGTAGATTCTAGATCTTTTTCCCAGTCACTATGATCTTCCATTATTCATGAGCAGTTCCTTAAGAGACAAATAAGAGCAAGTAAAGCAGCTTCTTACCTCTGAAATTGTAACTTTATTGTAGTGCTTGTAAAACCTTGCTGTTTTCGAAGAGACTTTATCTGTTTCCAAGTCTGTAACATGCTATGTAGCAGGGAGAGGTCCTTTTCCCTTTCTAAGTTATATAGTTGTTTTGTATTTCTGTAACAATAATGGCAAAATCAAAAATATGCCTGTTGGTTAGAACCATAAGTTATTAAAAATGGTCTGGAAGAATATTTTAGAGTAATTCTTCTGAATATGTAGCAGTTTAGTTAATTTTTGACTAGTACTTTACTATATATGAAAAAGAGAGTGCAAACCAACATAGTACATGCCTTTCTGTTGCTTTTGCTTGCTTTGGTACAGTTTGAAACATTCACAACTTTTATTTTGCCACCGAGTAAGTTCTATGTGGGTGGCTCCAAAGCCACCACAGTGGGATTGGTTCCAATTTAGGATGTCAGAATCTCAAGGGAACTTGAAAGGAACTAGAGGAGGGGCTTGCAACAAGGAGAAAAGGTAAAACAACAATGCCTCCATCTCATTGCACCTCAGTAATGAGAAGTAGTAATCAGTGATAATCAGCATAGACCCCCAATATTTGGACAGTAAGGTCTTTTTCTGTCTTCCCAGAAATATATCCTATTTGTAGGTATTTTCAAACTTGCATTTTATTTTTAACTCATATTAAACAAAGTTATATTATTTTATGTATTTGATAATTCCATTTTCTTACTTAAGCCTTTGCTTGTATGTCTCTTTGATTATTTGTGCTCCTTCTTCCTCCTGGTATTTTTGTGTATTTGTAACAGAAGAGGCTATAAATATTTTACTATAAGGACGTGTTCCTTAGAATATCATATCTATGAGTGATCCCTGAGCTAGGACTAAAATTATGTTCTTCCAGAAAGAGTATATATTTGGTTTTCCAGTTTGTAATCACTACCAATCTGGGACTATATTTAATTAAATTCTAAATCTGAGCTGGGTATGGTAGCTCATGCCAATAATTCCAGCTACTTGGGAGGTTAAGGCATGAGAATAGTAAGCTTGAGGCTAGCCTGGGCAACTTCATGTGACTCTGTCTCAATGGGGATGTAGCTCTGTGTGAAGGCCCTGGGTTCAGTCATCAGTATCACAAAAAGTTAAATGAACAGGGCCTGGGATTTAGTTCAGTGGTTCCACTGAGTGCCTCACAAGCGCAAGTTTCTGAGTTCAATCCCCGGTACCAAAAAAGAAAAAAAGTTAAATGAACAAATGAATGAATAAATAGATAGATAAAGGGCTGGGCGTATAGGTCAGTGGTAGAATGCCACAAGTTCAATCCTCAATATCACCAACAATGTTAAAAGAAAGAAGGAAAGAAAGAAAGAAAGAGAGAGAGAGAAAGAAAGAAAGAAAGAAAGAAATCTAATTCAAGTCATAATTCTGAGTTGTTAGGTTTCTGATTATGAATTTTCAAAAGAAAAATTTCCCTCTTTTCTTAGTGTCAAGGTCAAAGATAAGTCTCTGTCATCCTCTTTTAATTCCTTTTTAATATTTAATGCCTATTACATAGTAATCTTTATTAAACTTCCCAAGTAGTCTAAACTTGCTTTATCTTTTGCCTTTAGCACTCTATTAAGCCACTTGAATGATAGCTGAAGTTTACTAGGGAAGCAAATATCCTCAGTGTAAAAGATGGTTTTGTCTCTGATTTACTAGGATTTTTCCTTTCACTTTGTTTTTGGCTTCTGCAGATTCCTTATGTTCTTGCCATCTCAGCAATTTGTTTATAAAGATAATTATGTATTTCACCTGACATTTTAGTTGTTTACCCTAGTAGTGCTATTCAGGAAATCTAGGCTACCATACTTCTAGAGACAGGAGCGTATTTTCATTTAATTCATTCGGTAAACAATAATTCAGTACTTATTATGTCCCAGGCATTGTGCTGGCAAAGTGTGAGTAAAGAGGTGAAAAGACATGCTCTATGGATTCAAGAAGCTTATAGACACATAAATTAATCAATGTAATAAAGTGTTATAGATGTTGTATTAGAAATCCACACAACATAGAGTTTGTTCATAAATAACAGGATGGTAGCCAATAATAGTGAAAGACTTCAAAAGAATATAGGTACTCATAGAGAATGGTATTCATTTCAAATCAATAAATACATAATAGATATTTATTACATGGCATGAGTTGTTTTAAGTGCTGGCAACTACTATCTCAGTGAAGAAGGATACAGAGTAAGTACTTACAAATGTGATGAGAATTACGAAAAGGGTAATACAAAGTGCCATGGGGATAGATAGACAGATAGATAGAATTTAATCTAATCTAATGGATAAGTAAAAGCATCCCTGAAAAAGTGACATAAAATTGAAATAAATTTTATATGTTGACTAAGTATTAGACTGAAAAAATGAAAGAACGTTCTAGAAGCAAAAGACATTAAAACACAATATAGAGGTATTAAGATGGTCTAGTTAGGACACTGACTATAAATTTCCAAGGCACAGGGACCCTAACATGAAGTTGGAGAGGTAGGGAGTGAGATTATGTAAGGAATTATAGATTATGCTAATGCTATTGAATTTTATTTTGAAACTAATGAGGTTTTATTTACTAAGCAAACTCACTCTGGTTTAAGTATGGAGTGGAGTTTAAAGAGAGATATTTTAGACTAAGTAGTCCACTGGAAGATAAGTGCTTGAAGTAAGTAGAATTGGTGGGAATGGTGAAAAGGCCAAGGACAGGATGGAAAAGAAATTTTAAAAAGTAAAAAGTAAAAGAATGTGGCGAGATGAAGATTGAGAGAAGCAGCAAAAAGAGGAGTCATAAATGACTTGAAAATTTCTTTCCTGGGTATTAGGTAATTGTGGGTACCCAATACCTAATAGACAGTCATAAAAGGTTAAGTACACCTGTATCATTTCTTGTTTTTCATGTGCACATACTTCCCTAATACAAACATTGTTTTTCAAATGTCCAAAATCTACCCTTTGCAGCATTTCTACATCACAAACTGAAATTTCCTGAATCAAAATTTATTACGTTTTAATTTTTCTGTTTTAATAAATCTGATTACCTAGTCAGTACCCCACCCCCCACAGTGGACCCCTATCTACTAGTATTGGACTCATCTAAAGCCAACTTTCTCTTTTTGTTGCATCAAAGTTTACTTGTTCTGTGTTCATTATGTCAATGGCTATTCTTTGCCTTCAATTTTAGTTAATATAAATAACAGCAGTTTATTGTGTTGTAAATACTGATGCATTCTTTTCATTTATTCAGCTAGTATTTATTGAGTACTCATCTTATGCCAGGCCTTGTTTAGGGATATGCTAACCTTATCAAGTAATATCTGCATTTTAAAAGGTTGCTATAGGAAACAATCATTTAAATTATTTGTTGTCTCTTGTGGTTAAGGGTCTGTAGAATCATGTCAGGTCATGGGCAGGGAGACAGGAATTTTCTGTACCTATCAAATCACTCATATATATATATATTTTTTTTGTAATGGAGATCGAACTCAGGACCTTGCACTTGCAAGGCAGGTGTGATACCACTGAGATAAATCCCCAGCCCTCTAACATATATATATTTGTGCACAATTAAACTACCTACCAAATAAATTATCTTCCAAATGAGCTTTCTTACTTTTGAAATTCCTTGACAATTATTATGCTCCATTTTGTAGTTATTTTTCCAGTTGTTTCATACTCTGATAAATTCTCTCAACTAGTTTATAAACCAGTGTTTCTTAACTTGGAAACCATGTATATTTTAGATAGGAGACCTTAAATTCATTTATTTATAGAGTCATATCTTTGGATTGAATTAATGTACCTTGTACATATGTAAATATGCAGTAATTTTTTTTTTTGAGACAAGATCTCACTGTGCAGTTCAGGCTGGGCTTGAACTCACTATGTAGCCTAGGCTGGCCTCAAACTCATGGCAATCCTCCTGTCTCAGACTCCTGAAAGCTGGGATTACAGGAGTGAGTCACCACGTCCAGCTCTAATTTTCAAATATATACAAACACTTGAGATTAATATCATTCAAGTCAATTTAGAAATACTGTTGGTAAACTCAGTAATTTTCTTCAACAAGTACTTTTAGAAAACATTAAAAAAATCAGTGGATATTAAAACTACAACTTCTTTCTCACGGCACTTCTGTGAAATACTTTTACACAAACATAAGCCTTTAAAATATACTGTAACCACTTCTGTAATTTCCTAAAGATTAGGGATCTTGTATGTCTCTTATTTTAATCTTCTATAACAAAATACAGTCCTTTATCTAAAAAAAGTTAATAAATGTTTGATAAATACGTGAATGATTCAAACCCTACCTTATCTGCCAATAATAATCTTGTAAAGACTTTTTGATAAGCTGGGTAATTTCAAAGTTTTCGCTCACTGATTTGGTAGCATTTGTCAATGTTTTCAGCTATAACAAAAAAAAGAGCTCTTTGGTATATTACATTCACCTGTAAGCATAACTACAATTCATCTGTAGGCCTAAGCACAAATGTAGAACTCTGTTGTGTATGACTGTTTTGTCTTTCAAAATATATTTTCCTATAAGCAGTTTGGAAATACATCACTCTAAGCTCTTCTTGCCTTGACGGTTGGCATTGAGAAGTCTGCTGTGATTCTGATGGGCTTTCCTTTGTATGTGATTTGTTTCTTTTCTCTAACTGCTTGTAGAACTTTGTTCTTCTGTTGGGTTTCTGGAATCCTAAGTATTATATGCCTATGTGTAGATTTTTTTTGATCAAGGCTATTTGGAGTCCTATATGCCTCACTTATCTGTATGTCAAGTTCTTTCCCCCTCCTTGGGAAGTTTTCTACCATCACTTCTGTGAACAGTTTTTTTTATGTCATCTGCACTCTCTCCTCTTTCTTCATTGACTCCAATCAGTCTTATGTTATTCTTCTTTGCATCATCTAGCAGCTGTTGGATTGATTTCTCGTGTTCCCTTACAATTTTAAAGCAATTTTTCTTTTCCTGGTCACTAATTGCAATCTTTTCTTCTATATCTGAAATTCTATCCTCACATTGGTTCATTCTGCTGCACAGACTTTTGATGGAGTTTTTAATCTCCTGGAAATCTGTTTGCATCTGTTTTATGGATTCCATTTGTTTCCTATGTTGGGATCCCATCATGTTCCTCAGATCCTTTATTTTTTTTATTTGTGTCCTCTCTAGATTTATTAATCATGTCTTGCACCATGAGTACAATCTTTGCTGTTATCTGAGTAATTATTTCTGATTTCATTTTTCCCAGATCCTCTTTTGTTGCCAGTTCAGAGAGTCCAGGTGGTGGAGTATCAGATTGTTCCATCTTGTTTCCCTTTGGGGTTGCTGTAGGTGAGCCAGAAGTCCGTTTTTGTGGCTTATTTACATGTCTTCTCATTTCCACGGGGGGGGGGGTGCTTCTGGTGCCCGCGCGGCTCACCTTCTCTGCCCCAGTCACATGGGATGGCTGCGGGGGAGCTTCCTTTTGGGTGCTGGGACTGGCTCAGCGTCTCAGCCCTAGGAGCCCCTATAAGCAGTTTGGAGCAGAACTGAGAAAACCCTGAATATCTACTCAAGCAATAAACATCATACTTTGAACATACAAGTCAATTAATTCATCAGTTTATAAAAGAAATGCCATTAGATCAGATGGCAGATTGAGCAGAGGTATGCACTTTATCTTCCACTTAAAACCTCATAGTAAGAGAAAACATATGTGTCTTTATCCATAAAGATATTGCCATTATCACATCCATATTTATATACCTGTATTGATAACCTACATGTATGTCTCTACATGAAAGTGTAACACACATCATAGGAAAATAAGAAAAAATAAAATCAAGAAAGAAAGTATATTGCAGAAGGTATTAAACAGTTATCTTAAACACACTTTCTCAGATAAAACTGAAGGAAACTACACCCTAAACTTCTTGGAGGAGAAACCTGTCACAGGGGTGACTACAGTGAACTGATACCAACTCTTCCACTGGAAGACATAAAAGACCCAAACAAATAGGAATACACTATAAGGAAACCCAATTTTTATAATAACAAAATTTCTTTCAAAATTAATGCAACAATGGAATCCAACCACAATAAATTGGTATTAGAGTTTTTAAAATAGAGAGTTACAAGTGAATTCTAAGGTTTGCATGGAACATCAAATCCATTAAGAGTATCCAAAATACTCTAGAAAAGGCAATTGTACTACTATATATCATGATTTAATAATTAAATATGGTAATGAAAACAAGGTTGAACTAGACCAGCGTATCTATAGAATAAATAATTCTTAAACCTATATAAATATGATGTGCAGCTGGCTTATTCTAAAGGCAGTATTTTAAATATAGAAATTATGTTGTTCGGCTATTTGACTAATCTCTTAGGGGAAAATTGATTTGGAACCCAACTTCCTCCAAGACACAGCTATAAATTCTACATAGAAGAAAAGGCTAGAAATTACACACACACACACACACACACACACACACACACACA